TATCGTAATCAGTGCATCAGGCAGAGCCATCCGAAATTGCCAGAGAAGAAGAATACAAAATGCATTTTCTGCTTGCAGAAAGAGGCGGCGACCTGATTTTGCAGCTATCATTAGTTCTTCTAATATGGGAAAAAAAGTTAATTCGTGTTACTGACGAGATACAGTTAATGTGTCAGGACTGACAGTAGGCCTAGTTCTCAGCCACAAGTGAAAGGTGCCGGTGGAGGAGAGGATCAGAGCGCGAGAGAGGAGTCAAGGCGAGAGTACCAAGTCTTTAGGAGTGTATTAATGAGTGTATTAAAGACGACGTTTACATGATTTTAACGTCACTTTTTATTCATCTTCCCAGATATTCTGAACCTGTTTTCAAACTATAACTGGAAGAACTCAGTGTGGGTCACTAGAAAATTACACATCTGCAATAATAATAATAATAATAATAATTATTATTATTATTATTATTATTGTTCCTCAAGGTTCTATTTGGGGCAAATTTTATTTTTCTATTTATATAAATGGTCTTGACTAATTCGAACACTGGTTCATCTCTATGCAGATGACACTATTATTCATTATTACCATGCCACCATGTTTTAAAGTGTCAGTGGATTCTTTAAAAAAACTGCAGTTTGCAACTGTGTCCTTACAAATAATCGTGACTTTTACGAAATGGCTAAATGGACTTCACTGTGCCTTGGGAGATATGTAAATTTTTCTGCGAATGCTTTACTGCTTTAAAGCACCACAGTACATATCTACTTGGCTGATAGCTTCAGTAACTCCAACACTAGATCAGAAGATAATTTCTAACCCTGTATGTTTTGTCTCTGTTGTTTTTGTGCCATAATCTGTCCCAGCTTGTACCTTGTATCTCAATGGGATCTTCCTGGTTAAATAAAAGGATAAATTAAAAATTTTAATAAAAATGGGTTTGAAAAATATTTCAGTGAACAGCATAATCCCTGTAGCATTCAATTTTCCCATTTCATAGTTTTAATGAGTGGCAGTGACCTCCTCCGCACATTTTGAACTTGTTCTAACCTTTCTGTGCAGAGAAATATCGCCAGCATGAATAAGGTGTTTTACATTCCACATTTTTCCGGTTTCTAGAACAGCAAGGCTGTAAATATTTATTTTAATCACCAATGTTTCCCCTATGAGAGGAGAGAGAGCTCAGTTTTATTTCTTTAGAAACTAACATTACATTAGTTTGCAGTGCGGATGCTTCCTATCCAGGTCAATTCACACACCTGTGAGTAAAGCATATAAACAAGACACTTTTCACTTATCTGTTAATGACAGCAAAGCGATTATAACAACAAGCACCGGGAAGATGCCAACAATGAGACAAGCAATGCAGCAGAACAGTCCTGCAACTTCATGTGAGAATCACACAGTAGCGTAACAGCAAAGATACAAAAATGCAAGGAAACATATCTGAGACATAAACAACATTTAAAAGACCAATCTTGATACATAGATAGCAGTTATTCTAGATGCACCTATTGATTTTAGCGTTATGTATTATTTGGATACAATTCCCTCGAAGAGACGTCATAAATTTAAGTCATTTTATCATTGAAAATGTCAATTACATTTAAGTAATTAAACAGTCTAGTGTTTGATAATACAACAAGTGTGGTGATGCAAGTTAATTCTGGAAAAGGGGACAATTAAGAATAAATAATTGGAAGAATGAATGACAGCTTTTCAATAAATATCAATAACAGTTTAAACAGTTTATACTTCTATTATGTTCAATAAAAGTGTATTTTCCTGAGACACCTCATATGTAAGATCGACAGCCATGCCCCCTGCTCATTACTGTGCACAAATGTACTTTATGTACTCAGGCTTCAAGAGCCCCTCGCTTGCAGCAGATACATAGAAACCTTCTGGCAATTCACGTTTTACAAGTGCAAAAGAAAAATGTTCACACGTGTGAGAAAAACTACATTTTTGCTTCATCTCCACTCCTACAACTCCATCCTAGGGGAGCCACTGTTCATGATTAATTAATTAGTCGAAAAACAATCATAGAATAACTGAAAATGCTGATCACAATCTTCCAGACTCCTACATTAAGTCTTCAAATGTCTTGTTTTATCGGAACAGCCCAAAGATATTCAGTTTATTATCATTTAAGAAAAAGAAAAGCTGCATGTCGTCACATTGGAGAAGCTGGAATCATTGATACACATCTACTCTCTAGTTAGTCAGCTTTCTCAAAGATGGAGTAAGGGTTCATCTGGATTTCTGAAACAAGGACATAATATTGACATTTGCAATATATAAACCAGGATAATCCAAAAACTGGATCATGAGTGGAATACTAATGCACTGAACAGCTCTCAATCCAAGTAAAAAAAAGTAATAAATCCATAAAAAAAAAACACTATTAGCTTATTGTGACATGTTTACATTAGAAATTAGGAAATGATAGACGGATGTCAGTCATCACTGGAATACTTTTTCCTGTTAATTTCTTGCATTCAAACTATTGTCACGTCTTCCTTAGCACAGAGTGTATGCTTTGCAGTATCTGCACACTGTATAATAGTGGGATATACTGTGCGATATTTGTATCTAAATCTCAAGACATTTCATTACCAACAGCAACCTCGAGCAAGAACAGCTGAGATAACATCCTGAACCAATCCCCCTCATCCTTTGTTGTCAGCGACAGTCAGGACTGATTCAGAGTCTCCCTTGACAGGTCGCTGAATGCTGACACAACACTCATCATTTATACCAGCCACTCCAGCTAAATGCCCCCCCCCTTACTTACTATGCCTAAAGGGGGGCAAGGGAAGGAGCACAAGACTCAAAGCGGACAAATGGAAGTGGAGGGTGGGAGGGCTGAGGGAGGGAGAGAGAGAAACAAATGAAAAGAGTGTGAGGACGGAGCCTATTAGGCAGGAGGATGAGGAAAGTAACAGTGACACCACCTAATTTAGCTGGCTGCCAGGGCTCACATGTGTGCGAATGCTTTGGTGCGTGTACTACACTACACTGTGCGAGCTGCAGGGGTGTGGTGCTGAACACCCAACAGCAGCGTAACATTTACAAGGTACTGTATGAATGAAGGTGCGTTCTGGTTAAATTATATCTACACCTCTTGGGAACATGATATTAAATCTTGTCGTTCACATTACATCTGAAACGTGCACCAGTTTCTTTTCTCTAATCTGTGGGTCTGACTATCTGCATCTGGACTGTTAGATTCCTTTCTGATGTAAATGATGCAGCGCCGACCATGGACCCATGCCATGACAATCCCATTGCTGGACAAAGAAAGCGGAATTCCCTCCCTTCTTGTGTGTCCCTGAGCCAACATATCAATTTGATAACCAGCCTGCATCCGAGGCAGCAGCAGCAGCGGGGTATGTGAGGACACAACCGTGCTTTTTGCATATGGGGAGGCTGTGATGAGATTTTTACGTATGCTGTTTGAAATGCATGCTCCTCCACTCGTGATAAGGCGCTCTCTCTTTCTCTCTCTCTCTCCCTCCACACACAAAGGAATGTCACACAAAGGAAACGCATGAATCTGCGAGTCAATTGAGGGGAATCAGCTATTTGTACATATGAGAAAATCCTCTTCCTTTTTGCAAATCACATGATGGTTGTCTACACAAAGGAAGTGACCACAGTTCCTTTGCAAATTTAAAATCAAAAAACCTCACCACCAAGCATGAATGCATGAGGAGCTGATTTACAAATCATGACTCAGAATCCTCTCAGTGTCTTTAAGAGACTTTGGCATAAAAGAAATTACTGCAGTCTTCTTCAGCTATAATTAAATGTAGTTAACTACAACTATCACTGCAAAGCTGTTTCTTAAGTCAGGACTTTGATGTAATAATGAGCAGTTTGTGCACCCTGAATGCATCAGAAAACTTAAATTGGCATACTTTGAATGGAGTTTGGTTTACCCGTTTCTTGTGTTTTGACAGTAAGCTATTTAAACCTAAGGGCAAAAAAAAAAAAATCAATCTATGCTGCATGTATTTTTTTTTAACATAATGTCATCACCCACTGCAGGAAAAGCTGTAATTTCCCACACACTTAAAGCACAGCTTAATACAAACAGGAAAAACGCTAGAAGTCTGTTACAGTTTAACGCTGCTAACGGACAGCGGCTAGAAGCTAGCAAGCTAACGGAGGTGGTGCAGAGTAGATGTGAATCTGTCAAACAGCTATCAAACAGTAAGTTAAAGTAACAGGCAACACTCGTAACAGTTTAGACAAGACAGAAATAAAAGTGAACGACCAGACTCGACAAAAAAATAGCTCTACATTTGGTTGCCGACTTTACCGTTACTCAGAAAGAGCCCTAACTAACACAAACGACGACCAACGTCGTTTTAATCGCATCTCAGACTGTAACTGAGGCATCAACGTGAGGTGAAACATTCAGGTAACGGTAACCTGGAATAACACGGGGACGTTCAGCTCTGAGGTGACATCAACTTATGCTGATAAAATATGTGCTCCAATTATAAAAAAAGAAGAGAAACAGCGATGAGACACGCTCCGACTACCAGGTAAATGAACAACCAGCCGTTTGACGAAAAGCAAACATCCACTCAGGGATGCTGCCAACTTTGTGTTTGCGAAACTGAGGACTGTTCCACCGGACGGACTCCGGAGCTCTTTTGTTGGCATAGCGGAATCCAAAAGCGGTGACCACAAAAAAAAAAACCTGGCCGAAGAGAGGCCAGCTTTCATCCCGGCCGGTAGCCGTGGGCCCTTTCAAGCCCAGTGTGACTTTCAGCTCCCTGCTCCTATTTTTCCCAGACAATAAACATTCCTCAGACAGGCAGCAGCAGGCTGGCCGCGGACCCTGCGCCATCTTAGTTAGACACACTCTGCTTCTTCAGGCTTCTTGAACAAAGAGCTTTTTCTGACGGAACTGGCCGGACCCGGGAAAGTAACTTCCGAGAAACACGCGTCTGACACAGAACACAACTCCATATGGTCCATTTAAGGCCACTTACCGGTATTTTCTTGTATCCTTGTCCCGAACAGGAGGACGAGCAGAAAGCATGGTATTGCATCCATCGTGGCTACGGACCAGACTGGCAGCCGACTGCTAACTTCTCCCTGCGCTGAGGAAGGTAAATGCTGATTGGTTAACGGCTCCGCTAGTCCCGCCTTTCCAGCGTTTGGTGTGGGGGGGGGGTGAGAACGAAGCTGATTGGCGGAGAGAGCCAGCCACACCCCGCCCCACTGGAGCAACACTATCACTGCTGTAAACAAACACTGTTGGCATTCACTATAATGACAAAGTATAAATGAATTGTATTATATTATATTACATCATATTATATTATATTGTAGATAGATAGATAGATGGATCCAGCAGCTCATTAGTAATAATAATAGTCAATAATAAATAATAAACAACCATAGTTAACCATATATATATTTATATATATATACACATTATAGTATTTCTATAGTAATGTTTTGATGAATAACAAGTTGCAGTATAATCTTTTAGCAACCACCTAATAGACAAAGCTAATAATTATTCCTATTTCTACCTTTACTGTATTTCAGCCGTGAAAATGTAGGAAACTTCCACTATAGTCAAAGGTTAAACAGATGAGATACGTTTGATTTCTCTATCTCTCACATACCCTGACTTTAAATAGAAAACAGCACAGAAATGTACATCTATGTGAAGGGGAAAATCTGTTTTTGTGCCAGAGGAAGACAGAGAGGATCATGACACTCATGTGGTTCTGTCAGACAGAAAAGAGCTCGTCACAGGGGCTCTGACTGAGGGAGGTATCACAACCATGGCAGCTTACACACAAACACACCCCCTCACACATTGTTCTAAAGCCCTATAGCCCTGCCTTTGTCATCATCTATTGAGTAGACACACACACATGCAGGCACACTTGACCTGGCCTCTCTCTCTCGCTCTCTCTCTCTCACACACACACACACTCGCTTTAGTCCCTGGAGAGTGTGACAGAGATTGATGATGGCCCATTATTTGATGTCCAACCGAGCCCTGCATGGCCCCGCACACGCACACGCACACACACACACTCTCATTAGTCACACACAGGCTGGTACACCTTCATGCATATTTATAGTAGTTATCCCTGCAGGATGGAGAATAAGAATTATGCTCCTTAGAATTGAACATATAGACAATATAGAAGATATGTAGGATCCTATTTAAAGTTCTAAACATCATATTCTCTGTTAAACACACACACACACACACACACACACACACACACACACACACACACACACACACAAAGGCACCACCTGCTCTTGGCAGTAATCAAATGCTGCTCAGGTTTGATTGCTTATACCTGTCTCTTTTGCATTTACAATTTTGGCATTTAGGTGCATTCATCCAGAGTGACTTACAATGTGTCGAGCAGCAGAAAAAAAGCTCAGATTTTTAATCACAAAATTACATGCAACCAATAGTAAGTGGTGTAAAGGTCAGTGACGACATTGCTATGAGCAGAGAGTGATGTTGCAAAAATAAAAAATAGGTGCAAGGAAGGACAGAGGAAGACATTGTTATTATTGTTTTTCAGGACAAAATCAAGTGGATCGATTAGAGATTCAGTGGGGAAGGTAAATACGCCTTCAGTAAATACATTTTCATACCCCTCTGTGTGGTTCTGTCTGTGGTGGAAAGGTCAAAGGTCTTTTAGGACGGGAGAGAGCACAGAGGACTAAAGCTCCATTTCAATACCTCCTCATTCACTTCCCTTTGGCAAGTCACTCAGGAGACTCTGCTGCCTCCTCTAGCACTTTAATAACTCAACTCCACTTTCTGAGAGCCAGCCTTCTCCTGGTCAAGTGTGTGTCAGTCCAGTGTGTCCAATGTGAATGTATTAAAACACATCTGCAGCGTTTCATCACACAAATAAAAGTATATATTGATTATTAATTACTCCGCTTCTTTACGGAGGAGTGTAAACAAGTGGTCGTGGCTCTGCAGTGCAGCGTATGGTGTTGTGTGTCACTGAGATTGAAGAGAAGATAAATGAGTAATGATCCAGGTCTAAATGTGGTAGACATGCAGAAATGAGGTATAGTCTCTGAGCAAGGGGCAGCCACCACAGCTGAACACTGAAACCAGTGTGGGGGTGTTCACAGCTGCAGTCTGTGATTGGACTGAACTGATGCAGGAAACTGAAACATCACTGTAGAAATATAATGATAATTACAGCATGTGCTGAGTTAAGTTTATTGTTGTTAACATATATTTATGTGCTATGTACATAGTAACAGATGTTGCACGTTAACGACAAAGCATAGAATAATAACAATGCAAAGATACCACAGGTGTTATTAAGCGGACGAGACTCTCCAGCACACACTCCACCAACATCAGAAAGAGTTGACCACAAACAAACAAAAAAACATCTAATTATTTGAATTTTTAAAATATTTTTTATTAATGGCACTTCCTGTAAATTTCATTTCCCACCATGAAAGTCTAATCACCATCACACACACACACACACACACACACACACCCACACACAAACACACACACACACACACAGAGGAGCTGTAGCTGTCACTTTTAACCAAAGGGAACGGCCTGTGCCCTGTCCAGGGTCACTGTGGGACTCCACCCTGATATCTGGTGATGTGGATGGAGCTCTGCCAGTCATATCACTGCTCTGCTTTTATTTTAGACTCAAACCCACAAAAGACTCTGACACCACCTCTTCCTCAACACTGTGAGGAACAAATGACACTTTCTTCCTCCGCTCAAGTTTCCACCGGCGTCAGAAACTTGGGTAACACTTCATACACCCCATGACTTAGTGTCGTTTCACTGTATTAAATAGGCTGCTTACTGATTTGCTACTGGTACACAAGGCTCCTCCAGTGTAAAGGTCTCTGTCCATGTGTAGTGTGATTATAGATCAGCTCTAGCTTCTATATTAATACTGTGAAAGTATCAAAGCCTCAGTCCACAGAGAAATGCACACAGCCTGTATTCAGAAACTGAGCCTTAAAACCAGCCGTCAGGACTTCTGGAACTTTGTGATGTCACAACAAAGCAGTCACCAAGCCCCGCCCACCTGGACCCACCATCCAAACCTTGCAGGATTTGGTTTCTGAGTGTTTTTACCTGAAATCTGCTGTATTTTTATTGGATCACTCAGAAAACAGTCAGCCAATCAGAAGAGAGGCTCAGAGCCTCCTCTCTTCTGATTGGCTCACCGACCTGTTGTTACTAGAGCTCCAGAGAGAAGCCTGAGAAAGGAGATGTAAAACTACTGGGAAACAAATAAATTTCTTTCTATCCATCTATCTATCTAAAAAAGGGTGTTAATAATAATGGTGTTAATATATGACTAACAAAGTCATATATAATGATATATATTACATCTTTAGCCTCTTTTAAATCCCTCTTAAAAACTATGGTCTTAACCTCTTTCTTAAAAAGAGGACACATTATATTACAGCCCACATACCTTACAATTACTGTGCTGTGATGTTCATGTTGTAGTTTCACTCATTAACAAACATTATTGCAATGATTTGGAGGAAGTACACTATAAAAGATGGGGGCAAGCTACAGCCGCACAGCAGGGATTTATTTATGTCTTCTACAGAAAAGAAGAGGGTCTATACTTTTAACAAAACCAAGGTGTGTTTGTCCAGCACTTCAGCGCCATTTGGATATCGCTGTATAGAAATCAATTTAGACAGATGGAACTGTCTGTTCTGCAGTGCTGACACTAAAATCTGACATCCACAACTGATTATTCAGATAAATGTAGTTTTATAACATCAAACTTCATCCAGCCACTTGGAAACTGTGTCATCTTATAAATTTGGACATTTATCTATCACAATGAGAAAGTTACACCATCGACTTAATGGCTCCAAAGAGTCAGGCTACATCACAGTGAACAGAAGATATTCATGCAAACATACCTGATTTAAAAAAAACACATTTAAGGATCACTTATGCTCAAGTTAACATTAAACATATGAATTATTTATTTGTCTAATATCAGACTTTTCTCTGTTCTGAATCTCTGGGTTAAATAATATGATACTGAAGCTGAGCACCAGTGTAAAAAGACAAAAACATAATTCCTTAAATTACATTTTTATCTTCAGAGGATGATTCCTCAGCTTCTCCTCTATTACCACCATCAGCTTCACTTTGGCCCATTAATGTTTGAACCTCCCAGCTTCTGCCCTCACAGTGATTCGTGTTATTATTATAAGCTGCTTACAGGAACGTATTTGTGGTCTTGTTACAGTAGCTCCTGCACTATTTAATCCAGACTGACAGTGTTGTGTGATCCTGTATCAGGCAGCAAAAAAAAAAAGGTCCAGGACCAAAGTAGCCTCCAGGCGCAGCGTTTAACACCTTTTTATGGCGCAGCATTACTTCCCTGGCGAGACGCTCGCCTATCAGATCATGTTCCTTGTTTGCTGCCTGTGCAAGTTACTGGGCTTTGAAGAGCAACTGATATATGGAATCATCTTCCATACTTCTTCTTCTCAAGTAGAAACGCCGCCTGCGAGGTGGGAGCTTTTAAAACCTTTGAAGATTGCCGGCTGAGGAAACAGTGCTGATTCTGAAGATGTGTACTAAGAGTACGTGGATGGACTACAAGGGGTTGGGGGGGTAAAAGCACCTTGATTCTCTCCACAGGTCATTTTCCTCAAAAATTAAATACAGCATTTTATTCCAAATACCTCTTTCAGCTAATGATACAGCAGTGAGGGGTAATCAGCCTGCCAACAGCGGAGGATATATCCATTTACATTATGCATGGCCCTCAGACACTGTGATATAAAAGGTGTTTAACAGTGAGCAGGGCTGAGGGAAATATGCTAAAGAGAGAGAGCTGCTGTTTCCAGCTTACACCTGTTTAGTCAATTAAACAGAAGAGCATGAACATTTATATTCACACTGTGGATTATTATAGTTTGTTTTGTAAATGCGTAAGTGAGTTTGTAAACTTTATCTTTTACATCAACGAGGAAACAGAGCATCGTTAAACAGATATCAGCTGTTGACTTCAGCTTTATCACGTC